CTGCAGCAACGCGCGGTCGCGGCCAGGCTCGGCTCGTTGTTTCGCGGGATGCTCGAGGCGCCGCGAGTTCTGGGGGAGGAGGACGAGCGCGAGCACGGCGCGGGGCCGGACGCGCTGGAAGCGCGGCGAACGGCGGAGGGGCGGGCGGGGAGGGCGATGGTGAGGTTTTGCCGGGCGCGCCGAGCGCGGCGCCAGTCCGCGGCGGCGCCGGATCACCGGGATACGCGAGTTCCGACGACGATGGGCCTGGCGAGGAGGGGGGGTGGCGCGAGGAGAAGGGGGGCGAGGAGGACGGTCAGGAGGCAAAGAAACACACAGACACAATGAATCCTCGATCTCCCAGAAAGTATGGGAAATATGGGAAGTGGGCGGGAAGACAGAAACCCAGAAATCATGGGAAAATACGGGGGATTATTTTATTTGTATGTATGTATTTCAGAGACCCGAATCATCAGGGGTAACTCGGGTCAGGGATAACTCGGGTTCCTTTTTCGGGAATCCAAGCCCGAGTTACCCCGGACCCGAGTTACCCCGGATAACTCGGGCGTCCAGAGCCCCAGAATCATCAGGGGTAATTCGGGTCAGGGATAACTCGGGTTCCTTTTTCGGGAATCCAAACCCGAGTTACCCCGGACCCGAGTTACCCCGGATAACTCGGGCGCCCAAGTATTTGTGTGTGTCCTTGGGCCCCTTCAGACGGGCCCACCGCGGAGAGGCCGGAAGCGGCGGGCGCGAAGTCCGGAGAAGAGCGAGGGGCCCGTTCCGCCAGCCGGCCGCGCCGCGCCGACGATTCGGGCCTGCGGCGACGCGTCGCCGCTGGAGGGCGCCGCGTCGGGTGAGAGGACTGCGAGACCTCGAAAGCAAGGGCTCCCTCGAGGGCGCGAAGTTATTCGCGCTTCGCGCTTCGCGGTCCTCGTTCCTCCTCCCCCTCCTCCTCGTCCTCCTTTTCTCCCTTTGGGGGGGCGGCGCGAGAGCGCGAAGTTATTCGCGCTTCGCGCAGCGCGAAGCGCGAAGTTGGGAGCCCTAGTGGAGGGTGCCGCGTCGGGTGAGAGGACTGCGAGACCTCGAAAGTCACCACCCACCAAACCACCCCAACCCAACCCGAAGGCCCAGATTTATCCTCGAGTTCCAGTGGGGGGGGGGGGGTCGGGGAACATCGAAACAACACATGGGATCCGTACCCCCCCCAAGCCGAAATTCGGGTCGAATTCGGGCCTTCGGGTTGGGTTGGGGTGGTCTGGTAGGTAGTCAGAAAGGGTCTGAGGCCTCGCTCTCAGGCGCATCTGACAGTTCCATGTCGGCCCATCTCGTGGGCACCGATTCTGGGTCCGACGGGGGCGCGCAGTGGGCCATGTGCGCCGCTGCAGCATGCGTCAGCGAGACCGAGATGCGCAAGCCCAGGCCCTGCCGGGCTCACGAAGCCGAAGTGGGCCGAGGCTCCGCTTGACTGGTGCGGCCTTGCGCGCGCGTCTGCTTCGACCCTGCCGGCGCGGCTCTGCGTTGGCGGGGGTCTCGCGGGCGCATCGCCGCGATCGTGCTCGCCGCCGCCGCCGTCGCTATCGCCGCCGCGCTTCATTGTCTCCGCCAGCATGTTCATCCAGCAATGGAGATGGCATTCATGTTCTCGCGGTGGCGGTGGCGGCGCAATCGCTGGTGCGAGCGCGCCATCGCGGGTGTGTCGCGCTGTTGGCGCTTGCTTTGATGCCGCCGATTGGCCAGGCTTTGCCAGCCGAGTTTGCATGGTGCGCTACCGCTGCTGCGCGAGGCCCGTTTGCTATTCCCCGCCCATCGCCAGCGTCGTCGCCGCGCATCGCCGTCTTCGCAGTCGCCATCACGCAGTGCCGCCAGCATCTTGATCGTGCGTCGTCGCCAACTCGCGAGCGCGTCGCCTGTGGCGCCACTATCACAATTATCCCAGTTGACATGGCCCCACCCCCACCAACCCACACTCACGCGCACACACGCGCACGGGCACACACACAAACACACAAACACAAACACGCACGCACGCACGCACGCACGCACGCACGCGCGCGCGAAACATTCTCATCACCCGAAGGGTTGTCGTGTTGGCATGCGCATACATCGGAGGCGCGGGTTTGAGATCGCACTGAAACGGAGAGCCCCCCTCGGGGAAATCGGTTTCGGTTTCGTGTTCGCGTCGCGAGTGCAGGAGGGGCGAAGGTGCGTGGGCGGGCGAGAGGAACGAGCCCACCTCTAGCTAGGGCGCCGTCGGGCAAAAAGACTGCCCCCCCCCCCCCGAGTTGGCTGGCGGTGGCCAGGGATGCCCCGTCGGTGTCCTTCCGTTGGTGTCTCGCCGGTGTTCGATGGTGAGATCGAAAGTGAGGTCGATAGTGATATTGATCGTGGATCGATGATGGGACCGATGCAGATAACGATAGCAAGATCGGTCGTAAGACTGACAGTGAGTGAGACCGTCGATTGTGATCGATGGCGAAATCGATAGTGATATCGAAATGGACAGTGAGATCGATCGAGAGTTCGATCGTGATACCTTCGAGTGACATCGATTTTATGAGATTGATTGTGCGATCGATAGTGAGATCAATAAGGCGACCGATCGTGAGATCGATTGAGTGAGACGTCGGTTCTTCCGCGGACCCCCTTGTCACCCGATGGGTGGTCGTATGGGTATATTCTATACGACCACCCTTCGGGTGACAAGGAGGTTGGTGGGGGGGAGAATAATCCAACTGACGACAACTGCGATGGCGGTGATGGTGACGATGTTGGTGATGCGCCCGCGAGTTGGCGACGACGCGTGGTGACGATGGCGCGTTGATATCTGTCAGTCTCACTCAATCAATCCCACCATCGCTCTCGGTCAACCGATCACACTTTTGACACCAGTTTAGATCTTACGGGGGACCCCACGATCGACTTTACGATCGATATCCCAAACGATTTCACTAGTGGTCTCACTATTCGATCCCACCACTGGACACCGACGGGACACCGACGCGGCACCCGCGGGACACCGACGGGGGACACTACGGGACACCATCGGCACACCATCGGGGTACCAATGAATCCCGATCTGACTCGCTCGGTTTCACGATCGATCTCACCCGATCGATTTCACCATCGATTTCACTATCGCACTCATTTCTGACTTTACTATCGATCTCACTATCGGTCTTCTCACTATCGATCTCAGAACGGGACACCACAGGACACCGACACCCGCGGGACACCGAGGGGACACCATCAGGAAGCCATCTGGACACCATCGGGGCATCAATCGAATTCACCCTCGATCTCACGATCGATCGCACCATCAGGCTTACTATCGATCTCACTCGCTCAATCTCACTATCGATATCACTATCGGCCTCACGATCGATCTCACGATCGAATTCACCACGAGAAACCAGCGGGACACCGACGGGACACCGACGGGACACCGACGGGACACCGACGGGACACCAACGTGACACCGACGGGACACCGACGGGACACCGACGGAACAGCGACGGAACAGCCACGGACAGCCTTTGGAAACCAATGGGACAACGGGACACCACGGCAGGGTAATTTGGCCACTTCCTGCCCATCGCGGGAAAGAGGCGGACAGCGACAGGACACCACGGCGGGACAACCCGGCCACCACCCGCCCACCCGGGAGGGAGGAGGGGCGGTCAACGGCTTTTAACCCGCCCTTGCCACAGCGAAGTCATTCTTCTCGCCCGCCGACGCAGCTTCGCCGAGACCCCCCAACCTCCCACATTTCAATGTACATGCACGTCCACAGTTACCTTTACCATCAACATCGGAGGTTGGGGGGTGAGATCGCAGTGGAGAGGGGCCCCCCCACAGGGAAATCGGTTTCGATTTCGCCTCGCGCTCGCGGGCGAGGCGAACCTGCGTGTGCGGGCGAGAGGAAGGACCCCGCCCTGGCCAGGGCGGTGACAGGCTCAGTGTCTCCCCTCCCCCCAGGCGGGCCGGCGGTGGCCCGGGGCAGGAGGTGTCCCGCTGGTGTCCCGTGGTGGTCCGTGGTGTCCCGCGGCGCGGTGTTCCGGGGTGTCTCGCGCTGTCCCGTGGAGGTGGAGGGTTTCTCCGAAGGGCTTAGGCGACCCCTCCTCCTGCTCCTCCTCCTCCTCCTCCTCCTCCTCCATCTCCTCCTCCTCCTCCTCCTCGCCCTCCCCCTCCCCCTCCTCCTCCTCCTCCTCCTCCTCCTCCTCCTCCAACTCCTCCTCCTCCTCCTCCTCCTCCTCCTCCTCCTCGGGTCGCCTACGGCCCCGGGGGAAACCGTGCACGTGGAGGTCGATAGTGAGATGGACCTGAGATCGAATGTGAGGTCGATAATTATTGAGATCGGGCTTGCCATGGGTGACATGCCTGTGTGCTGTATGTCGGCACGTGGTTCGTGTTGACGTGTGCTGTCATTGCGTTGCGTGATCTGTTCTGTGATTTCTTGGATGATGGTCGCACACTGCGTTGCATTGCAGTGCCTTTCGTTTTATTTGGGTGTGTTTTGCATTCCCTTGAGGCGAATTACACTTCTTTGAGTTTCGTTGCGCTGGCATTGCGCGAGCGTTCATCACTGCAAGGGTTTGTATTGACTGCGCAGTTGCCATTGCACTGCGTTGCATTATTTACGTCGCATCGTTTTGCATTCAAATTGTATGGGTGTACCCTTGTGGGTCATGCGTCTCTCTTCGGTCCACGGTCAAGTTACACCAAGTCATGTTTAAGTCTGCTGTGGGCACGGACATGCATGCAGTCGTGAGCTTGTCAAGGGCAAGGGGCTTGCTAGAAGCTGACCGTGCGTAAAGCACACGCGCGTTTCTAGTGTGGTTAAATGTGCACAGATACACGCATTCATGCATTAGCCATTTGATCATCCTTACCATAATGGTTGCTCGTCCTTCTTCCGTCGCCATGCTCTTCCCTCTATCCTCTGCCGCGCCACGTCCCCTGAAACATCTCAGTTCTCTTTTACTGTCTGTTCCCCTCCCCTCCCCTCCCACATATGCTGCCAAGTTGGCCCGGGAGTCACGTTGTTCTTCAGTCAACCCAATACCAGTACAAGTCATTCAAACTTCATTCACTTAATACACACAATTCTCTGTTCACGTACATACATTACATAACTGGTACACGTTAGAGCGATGTCTGGTTTCACAATGCAGCTGGTAATACGACGTCTCACGATGGCGTTTGCTTTGTGTGGTGGAGTGTGTGCCGACCTGCAGCTCATGAATAGGTCGTCGCACGATTACGTCGTGCAGCCACGCGCGGGCTGCCGAACCGCAGTCGCAGGCGACCACTGCTACGACAAAGTGTCGTGGGCGATGCTGACGGGCGTCCAGAAATACCCGGATTGGTTTTCCCCCCTGACCAGCAGCTCCAGTTTCGAGGATTTCCAGCGGCACCTGCACGCCATGCCTAAGTTCTCCAACGCGTGCCCTGAGCCTTGTGCAGCGCGGGCGGTGGAGACTCCAGCAGTGCAAGCACAGTTGCCAGCATCGGCCAGCTGCCACGCCCCGGTCGAGGGCGACGAGTGTCACAAGAGAGTGGTGTGGGCGATGGAGAAGGGCGCCGTAAAGTATCCTGCCCAATTTGCCCCCCTGACCAGCCGATCCAGTTTCGAGGATTTCCAGCGGCACCTGCACGCCATGCCTAAGTTCTCCAACGTGTGCCCTGAGCCTTGTGCAGCGCGGGCGGTGGAGATTGTAGTACCAGCACCGTTGCCTCAAGTGTGTCACACGTCGGTCGACGGCGAAGCATGTTACAGGAAAGTCATGTGGGCCATGGAGTCGGGCGTCGCAAAGTATCCAGATTGGTTTTTCCCCCTGACCAACACTTCTAAGTTTGAGGATGTTCAGCGGCATTTGCACGGCATACCTAAGTTCTCTATCGTATGTCCTGAGCCGTGTGCAGCGCGGGCAGTGGAGGTCCGAGAGCCAATACAGGTGCCAGCGCGGGATTCAGCAAAGCCAACAGAGCGTGCCGTGAGGACACGAATGGAGGGATCTAATCAAACAGGTGACCCATGGATCGTGAACGGTTACGATCAAACGGGCAGCAATTGCGAGTGTGGAAACATAATACAATCGCTCCCCACAGGCTACGAGACTCCGTTACTATGCGCGTCCGCGTGCAACATGTACCCTCGTTGCATGTCGATTGGTGTTCACGAAGATACCATCTGGCCTGGCCATTGTGATCTTTTCGACGCGCCTTGCAACGACACGGACGGTCACGACGAAGCTGGCACCACTTGCGCCAAGCCCGTCCATGAACAAGGCATCAGCCTTAACTTCAACAGGGTGCAGACCGATTCACCCACGCCTTCACCAACACCTGCACCAGATGCGTGCGAAATCGCGAATGGAACTGGGCCGAGTGCTTCCTACCCATGTGCATGTGGACCTGTTGTTTGTGGAACGAGCGAAATTTGTTCCAACGCGACATGCTCCCCACCATCGTATCTCCACGTGGACTGGCCATGCTCGTGGCCATCGATCGGCGACCCGAACTTCATCATCTCAGGAACCAGTGCGGGGGGGGCGCCGATCTATGTCAATTTCCACGGCTCCTACATCTATTTTGACGAATCGTGTGACGGAGAAGTTCGTGGGGGAGACAGCCGAGTACCCAGATGGATCATCGACGACAGCGCGCCGAGTGTATCAGCTGTCATGGACCTGGACTCGGACAGGTCTTGCTCTTATTATGGGCACTACGAATCTGACGACTCCCATGGTCTCCGGGCGATGAGATCTGTACATATCCGCCGCCGCTGGCCAGGCCTTTTCTGGGCCCAGGATGGGTCTATATGCCTCCTTGGCCACGTCATGAGGGCGTATACACCGTGCCGGATCCCAGCATGGGCCTGGCCAGGGCCAGTGGACACATATATTGATCGCTTCGCCTTAGGTCTCCCCTTGGGGAGCTCAACTTGGGTGACATTCTGCGAGGGCGTTCTGCAGGCTGTTACTGCAGAGATCACGTACCTGCACGAGGAGCCGAATGTGACGGCGACCCCAGCCCCGACGCTGCCTCCCGGGACCGCGTGTCCTTGCGATCAGAAGTGCGCTGGCTTCCCTTATGTGGACACCGATGGCGATGGCTGCCTCAGCGAACCGGAGTGCAAATATTTACCGCCGGTCATCGGGAACTTCGGCGAGCTCGACCTCGACGGGGATGGTTGCGTGACCTTGAACGAGTGTGTAGAATCCCCCTTGGGTGAGTTCTTGCCCATGTTCCCTATTTCTGCCCCGAACCACTGCGACTTCGGCCATTATTTTACTCCAGGCACGAGCCTGTGCGTCGTATGCACCAATGGGGAAACACGGCGTCGTCGTTCCGAGGCGTGCACCAAATGCCCTCCCGGCAGGGACGACTTCGGTGATTTCGACACGTGTATCGGAGGGGCGTATCTTAAGGAGCCTCTGTACCCAGGGAACTGCACGGCTTGTGTCAACTCAGACACCGATGAGAACGGGCAAACGTTGACGAGAGGCGACTCAGTAGTAATATCGACGCGAAACCCCGATCCAGGCCACTACGAGATAGTGACCATCATTGGCAAAATTACCGTAGATAACCAGACGTGCTTCCATGTTGAGCCTTGTGTCAACGACTCGTACGACCCGTACGATTCGTTGATCTCTGACTGTACTGAACACGACGGACGTAGCACTTCCTCGACCTACCCATGTGGATGTGGCGTTGACGAGTGCGCCGAGGGGGAAGTGTGCGACCTCGATGGCAACGCAGGACGAGGAATCTGCATTCCACCCTCGTGGACTGTTCCCACCCCGGCTCCGACGGTGTCGGCCAGGGGTGATCCGCACCTCGTCAATTTGCATGGAGAGCATTTCGACGTGAACCACGGGGGCGATTTCACTCTGCTGCGGATCCCCCAGGCCCAAAGCGAACCTCCGATGGTGATCGGCGGCGTGCTCAGGGGGGAAGGCAGAGGAGGCGGGTCTTCTCATCAGGCTTAGAAGGCCTCAGGCCTCCTGAGGAGCTTCCTAAGCCTCCTCCGAATCCCTTGGGGGGAAGGGAAGGGGGCGCAAAACGCGATCCCTGGACCCGCACCGCTGTGCGCTCTGGGCAGCATCTCGAGGCGGATCCGGCCGTGGACGAGGAGCACCCTGGATGCCTACGGTAGGTTTGCGTCGTGTCGACCAGCGGCGACCCCCAGCGCGGGCGTTCAAGGTTGAACGCCGCCGGCGACCCAGAATCGATCGATGTTGAACGATCGGACGTTGCGGCAGCGGCCGATCGTTCAAGGTTGAACGATCCCTGAGGTGTCAAAAACCAACGCTGGGGTCGGCACGACACGAACCGGCCGTAAGAGCCCCAGGAGTCGATGGGCGAAGAGTTCCCCAGAGGGCCAGAAAGGGCCTCCCTCTCTCAGAGCGTGAATTACCTACCCCGCTTTCGCTTCCAGGAAAAAACAAGTCATACCACGCGCCTCCTCGTCAAGCGACCTGACCAGTACAGGCCGTAGTTTGGCATCGCTTGGTATCTCTTGGAAGCGAGGGTGGTCAAAAGCGAGGTAGGTTTGTTTTCCCCCTTCTCTCGCAGTGCCCTCTCGCAGTGCCCTCTCTCGCGGCGCACTCTCTCTGGGCCCTGGGCCTCCTGGATTCAGGAGGGAAGGAAACACGCAGACACAATTCATCGGTGATCCCCCAGAAGATATGGGAAGATGTGGGAATGGGGCGGGAAGACAGAAACCCAGAAAATATGGGAAAATATGGGGGATCGTTTTATTTGTGTGTACTTATTTGTGTGTCCTGGGGCCCCTTCATGGATGGGGTCCGAGCGGATGGGGTGGGGGTCGGAGGCTTGCGCCCCCTCGTCGATGCAGGCGTCCTCCGCGCCGACGACGCCGATCTGGGCAGTCCTCCTCCTCCTCCTCCTCCTCCTCCTCCTCCTCCTCCTCCTCCTCCTCCTGCGGCGGCGGCGGCCTCTCGGCGGCGAGGCGCAGGTGCTGGCTGGGTAGTCGAAGGCCAGACTGTCAGATTGGATTGGGCCCCACGGGCCACGCTGGCCCGGCCAAGCTGGAGGATTTGGGTTCTTCGCCAGACTGGATTCGCGTTGGCTCTCCCTCGCCAGATTGCCCCCGTTTGCCAGATTGGGCCTGCCAGACTGGCGCCAGATTGGCTTCGACTACCCAGATGCAGGCTTCCTCCACGCCGACGACGCCGATGCATCGCCGATGCACTGGCGATGCATCGGCGATGCGGGCGCAATCCTCCGACCTCGTCTGCGTGGGCCTCGTCTGGAGACCATCTGCAGTTCAGCCGTAGATGGTCTCCAGACTCGGTCCAACTGTAACAGTGGGACCGAGGTATCTAAGATCGAGGTCGGTTCGGGGAGGGTACCCGGATGTTCTTCGCGTTTGTTGGATGTTCTCGTGCACCCTGGGAAGGGTACTCTTGGACGTCCTGTGTGTTTGGGCCGACGTTCTTGAGGGACGTTCTTCTGGCCCAGGTCCGACGGTACGCGTACGTGTCAGGAGGGGAACATACACAGACACAATGAATCGCCGATCCCCAAGAAGATCTGGGAAACTATGGGAATTGGGCGGGAAGACAAACACCCAGAAACTGTGAGAAAAGATGGGGAATCTGTTGACTTGTGTGTATTCGTTTGTGTGTGCCCTTGTGCCTCTTGAACTCGGTCTGGAAACCCTCTACTCTCGTTTCCCCCCTCGGCGCGCCGCCGAGGTGAAGCTGAAGGCCTCCGTCCGCCCCGAGCACGGCAGGCCGTGCACCACGTACATCACAGAGGTGGAGGTCTCGGGCAGCCTGCTCGGCGGCAGGACCCTGCAGGTGCGATCCTACCTCAGGGCGCACGCCGAGAACGAGACCGACAAGTTCCTGGGCGTTCGGGTGCTGGACCTCCCTCCTCCTCCTCCTCCTCCTCCTCCTCCTCCTCCTCCTCCTCCTCCTGCCTCCTCCCTCCTCCTACCTCCTCCTCCTGCCTCCTCCTCCTCCCCCTCCTCCTCCTCCTCCTCCTCCTCCTCCTCCTCCTCCTCCTCCATTCCTTCTCCTTATAAATAACTCCTCCATGTCCCACCCCGAGGCCAGTCGAAAGGGCGGGCCGGGCGTTTCGCTTGAGACTGCTTTACACTTTATGACCCTGAAGCTTAAACATACAAGCCATGTCCACATATCATTGGCGGGCGGTGCTCAGAATGTGGCTCCCGCTTTCGCGCCCCGCACAGATGTTATGGAACAGCCGTGCAAGAGTTTTTTCACGGATTGCGGGCGGGTAGTTTTCTAAATGTGGTTTTTGCATGAGCGCCGCGCACATGTGTTTTGAAACATTTGCAAGGGGAGGAGGAGGAGGAGGAGGAGGAGGAGGAGGAGGAGGAAGGAGGAGGAAGGAGGAAGGAGGAGGAGGAGGAGGAGGAGGAGGACTGGCTTTGCGGATGGAGGGCGGACGGTTTTCAACCTGTGGCTCTCGCCCGAGCGCCGCGCACGTTCGCTTCAACAAGTTGCAAGAGCTCCACGGGTGGCGAGCGGGCGGTCTTCAAAATGCGGTTCTCGCCGGAGCGCCGCGCACATTCGTTCTACACCTTAGGCGATGCTTAAGAAAACCTAAGTTTTCGGCCAGAGTCTCGATTATTCTTAACTTTTCAATGCAAATCCCAAGATTTTGATAGAAATTCTGGGTTTTTGTTCAAGTTCGGAGACTATGAATTTCTTAACCCATGATTTCTAAAGCATTTCGCAGGGTGTACACATGTCCAATGATATCGCGGATGGAGGGCGGTTCGTTTTCAAAACGTGATTCTCGCTTCAGCGCCGCGCACGTTCGCTCTCGTTCGCTCTTCAGCTTGCAGAAGTGTCACGGGCTCCCATGGCTGACGTACCAGAAACGGTGTTTCAGAACGACTCAGGATTGACAGGGTGCATCAGCGACGCAGACTCGCGGTATTGAAGTCCCGGGAATGGTGTTCAGGCACGATTCAGGATCGTCAAGACGCAACAGTCAGGCTTATTCGTGGCGTTGCAGTCCCGAGATGGCTGTTCTGGCACGCCTCAGGACCTTCAAACGATTGTCTCCAAACGGGACGCTTGCTTCAGTGGAAATGAATCCTTGTCGGGGCCTATGAAGAGGAAGCCTGGGGGAGGATCTATTCCAACATCGTTTATGTCTTGGGTTTACAATGGTCCTCCTCCTCCTCCTCCACCACCTCCTCCTCCTCCGTGAGAGGCCCAAGCAGCGGGGCTGTGGTAGTGCAGCGCAGGCTGGCTGCCAAGATCTCCGACGCTGTGATTTCTCCAATCCAGTCGTATTCCTCGATTTCGGCTGCTGGGGACCATTCGAAAATTGGGAGCGACAAGCTTTCGGGCCTTCGGGCGCGGGGCCTCGAGGATCAGGGAACAACAAATCATGCCACAAACCTAACCTTTCGGACGACCTTTTCTGACATTATTTGTATCCCGAGGGGAAGAAAAGCAGGCAGGCCTAGGATCGGGATAGGCCGTTTCAGAGCATTCCGGAACGCACCGAAACGGCCGCGGCGCCCGATGCATGCTTTGTCTCGATCCGAGGTTATCCCGATCCTGGCTTCGTCGCAGAAGATGCGGCACACACATACACTCTCGGAGCTCCCGGCGGATGTCTTGGAGCGGCGCCTGCCACCCCCCGGCGCTGCCTGCGGCGCCGCCGCGCCCCGCGCGGCAGGGAGGGGGTCCCAGCCCCGTCCAGGGGGTCCAGCCGCGCGGCAGGGAGGGGGTCTCGTCTCGATACCCGTGCCCAGGTGCACGGCGTCGCTGGCAGCGACGGCCAAGCCGCCCTGCGCGACTACCTCTTCGGAGCCTGGCTGCACAAGTCGGCCGAGGAGGCGGCCCGGACGCTCCGCTTCGAGGAGTACTTCGTGACCAACCAGAAGGACAAGGAGGTGAACTTGCAGGTCCTGGCTGGCCTGGACGAGCGTGTGAAGGGCATCCTGGAGCAGAACCCCAGCCTGGCGGCCGCCTTCTCCAGCAAGGGCGGCCGCGACACCCCGCCCGCGCCGGCCCCCAGCCTGGCGGCCGCCTTCTCCAGCAAGGAGGCCGCGCCCGGGCTCCTGGAGGCGCTGCGGGGCGACGCCGAATCGGGTGTGCGCCGGGAGGCGGCGGCGGCGCTCGGGAAGCTCGGCGCCGCGGAGGCCGCGCCCGGGCTCCTGGAGGCGCTGCGGGGCGACGCCGAATCGGGTGTGCGCCGGGAGGCGGCGGCGGCGCTCGGGAAGCTTGGCGCCGCGGAGGCCGCGCCCGGGCTCCTGGAGGCGCTGCGGGGCGACGCCGATTCGGTCGTGCGCTGGGAGGCGGCGGCGGCGCTCGTGAAGCTCGACGCCGCGGAGGCCGCGCCCGGGCTCCTGAGGATGCTGGAGGAGGACGTTGATCCGGAGTTTCGCCGAACGGCGGCCAAGGTGCTCGACAGGTTCGACCCCAAGGACCTCGCCTTGCAGCTTGTGCGCACGGTCAGGAACAGGGACATGAGCATCCCTTGGCGCGAGATCGCGGCTTCGGAGCTGGCCAGGCTGGTCACCAAAGATGCCGCTGTGGCGCTGGCGCTGGCCGACGAGCACGCCGACGCGTTGCACGACGCGGCGCAGGAGGAGGAGGTTGGCAAAGTCTTCCGCGACAGCTGCGCCAAGGCTGTGGGTAAGATCGACGCGGCGCACGCGCAGGCGGCCGACGACGCAGCCAGGCACGGCACAGCTGCGCTGCCCATAGACGGGGCGGCGGGGCGGCAAGTCGCGATAGGGCTTTGGCGACGCAGTGTTCTGCATTGCCAAGCGTCGCCGTGCATTCGTAAGCTATGCAACAACTTTCTTTTCTTTCTCCAAAAACCAATCGGAGTGCACGCATAACTCAGCATAGCATAGTATGGCGTTGCATCGAACAGCACTGCATCGCATCGCATTTCATAACATATCATAATTTCGCGTGTCGCAACATAGGATGGTATGTCGCTTCACGCCTTGCAACGCATTGCCGAACACTGCGAGTGGAGAAAACAACGCGCCACAGTGGGCCATCGTTGGACATTTGCATCGGCCCTCGCAATCCCATGGGGACCTGATTACCATATCAGGTGTGGGGATTGAATGATGGGCTCGCTGCTGCGCCCTGCAGCTATGCTACGCTGTGCAAGTTGTGTCCATTGAGGCAGCGCCCCCCCTCGCGCGATGAAAACGAGAGGAGAATGAGGAGAAGGAGGTAGAGAGAGGAAGAGGAGGAGGAGGAGGAGGAGGAGGAGGAGAAGGAAGGAAAGGATGAGGAGGAGGACGAGAAAGAGATGGGGAGGAGGAGGTGGAAATGAGGACGAGGAGGGGGAGGAGGAGGATTGGAAGGTCTTCAGTAGGAAGATCTTCGTTGAAGATCTTCGCGCTGAGGCCTCAGCGGGGAGCCTCTTGGGTTTGGTCGGGGGTCTTTGGGCCTGCCCTGAGATCCTTTGGGGTTGTCTCGGAGGCAATATTCGGCTTCTCTGGCGATTCAGCGGCTAAAAAAAAGAAAAACGGAAAGATATGAATTGAAGATCTTCGCGCTGAGCCTCAAAGAGTGGGAATCCCCACTGTAGATTTCCATGCTGAGGCTGAGGCTCCCAGCGTAAAGATCTTCAGTGCAGATCTTTCTTGCTGGGGGCCTCTCTGGTCGTGCTGGGGGCCTTTGGAACTGCTGAGGAACGTTTTGGGTGGTCTCTTGGTAACATTTTTGGGATGTCTTGGGTGATCTGGGAGGCCCCGGCACACCTCCAGCGTGGAGTTCTCCGCTGTAGATCGCTGTGCCGAGGCCTCCAGCATGAAGATCTTCACTGAAGATCTTCGCGCGGGGATCCTATTGGGCTTGGTCGGGGGCCTCTGGGCCTGTCCTGGGAGCCTTTTGGGCTGTCTTGGAAGCCATATTGGGCTTCTCTGGCGACCTGGAGGCCCGAAGAGGTCCCCAGCGTGAACACTTTCACTGAAGATCCTCGCGCTGAGGCCCCAAGCGTGAAGATCTTCACTGAAGATCTTCGCGCGAGGAGCTGTACCTGTACTGTGACCCTTAGGGCTTTGTCTTGGAGGCCATACTGGGGTTCTCTGGCGATCTGGAAGCCCGAAAATATCCCGAGCGTGAAGATCTTAACTGAAGATCCTCGCGCTCAAGGCCTCAAGCGAATATATACCCCCACTACCGATTTCCAAGCCGAGGCCCCCCAGCTTAAAGGTCTTCAATGTAGATCTTCCTGCTGTGGACCTTTCGGGCCGTGCTGGGGGCCTCTGCATGGGAGCCTTTTGGGTCGTCTTGGAGGTCATGTTGGGCCGTCTTGGGCGATCTGGGTGCCCGGGGAGACCCCCAGCGTGGAGATCTCCGTTGCAGACCTCCGCGCCGAGGTTCCAGCGTGAAGATCTTCTCTGAAGATCTTGGGCAAACAGCCACGTGCGTGAGAAGCCATGCAATGTGGCACAATGTTGTATCAACCATTGCCATGCGCGCATGTGGGAGAATATTCATAGACATGCGTGTGCTACGTGGAGAATTCGAGCGTACATGCTTTGATGGGGGTTTGGGCGTCTTGGGGTGCATCTCGTTCACAGTTAGTACGCGCGCGCGCAATCGCCCAGTTGCAATCAGACAAGCTACCGTACTCTGTCTGAGCGGGAATGAAGGGGGGACCAAGAGAGGGTGGAGGATGAGAGCAGGGGTTGGGGAAGGAGGAAAAGCAGGAAAAAAGGTAGGATATGACATAGAGGAAGATGACGAGGAGAAGGAGGAGGAGGAGGGGAAGGAGGAATAGGGAGATGAGTGAGGGGAGGAGCATGATGAGGAGGACAAGGACGGGGGGGGCAGGGAAGAGAAGGTAGGGGGAGGGGGGGAGAAAGGGAGGAGGAAGGACGAGGGGAAGGATGAAGAGGAAGGGGAGGCGGATGACGAGAGGAAAGCGAAGGAGGGGTGGTAATGAGGAGGCGGGGGATGAGGAGAGGAGAAAAGGAAGTGAGGAGGAGGACACGGAGGAGGAGGACTCGCGGCGTGCGCCAAAATCAAAGCAGCTTATCGAAGTGGGATGGCTGGAGCTGTGCAATAGGCGGTTCGAGCCCGAACGCATCAGTCTTCATGTTCTGGGATTCGGACGTTCCCAGAGGAGGAGGAGAAGGAGGAGAAGCAGGAGGGCACGAAGGGTTCGATGAGCTCGCAGTTCTCTGGAGAATTGTTCGAAGGCCTTCAGGGAGCGCTCTCGTCGGTGCGGCTTGACGCAGTTGGTACAACTTGATTCGACCCTTTTGAAATTATATGGTTGGGATCTGTTGCGTTGCCCCATCGTCGACGACGACGGCGACGACGGCACCGGCAACGCCAGCGGCGACGGCGGTGACGGCGACGGCGGCGGCAGCCGTGGCATCGACTGCGGCTGCGATTGCCATGACAAAGAAGACGAACGCGACGACGACGACGACAACCGCGACGACGGCGTCAACGGTGGCTGGCAGTCGGTCGTCATTCGTCACCGTCGTCATCAAGTCGTGGACGTGGGTCGTGGACACCGTCGTCGTCCGTCGTCGCATGCCGCACCCGTCGCGGTCGTCGCCGTTGTCGAAGTTTTGTTTCGTCACTGTCGTCGTCACATGGAGCTAATGTTTGAGCGACGGTTTCCATGACGCGCGACATGATGTTTGCATTCACGGAGTTGCTGATCTCCGCTTGCTGTGCATCCACCAGGGAGTCTCAGGTGGCGAACCTTTCCCTCCACCCTTCTCACTCTTCTAAGGTGACCTCCCACTGCCGCCGCCACGCTTCGGGGCGATGGTTAAGTAAAGGTCTGATCGAGAGAACGGTGGGTGCAATCTGCCAGAGCAGAACAACCTAAAGCCAAATACGCGTGCTTATGAAATGGGGGGAAGCCAGGACGACGCCATCCTCATGAGCAGCCTCGGCGGCTAACGCGATGCACCGGGAAGCCCGAGCCTGTGCGTAGCGAAAGGGTAAATCACCCTATCGCTACGCACAGTCGGGGACGTCCCCGACTGTGCGAAGGGGATTTCTTTTCATTTAGGAGCCTGTGCGTAGCGATATGGTCAATCACTCTGTCGCTACGCACAGGCTCCTAAATGAAAAGAGGTCCCCTTTCGCACACTCGGGGGCGTCCCCGACTGTGCGTAGCGATAGGGTGATTTACCCTATCGCCACGCACAGGCTCGCCATTTTTTGGGGAAGTGCATTGTTCCAGCGCCGCCCCTCTAGTCAGCTCAGGGGCGTCCCCGACTGGAGAGCGATCGACCGAGAGTTCACATGCCACGCTCTTAGGTTGAAGTGGAAGCTGGGGCTGGCACGGTGAATCGATGATGTTTGCATGAGGTTCTGTTTTTTTTTTTTTTTTTTCTTTTTTTTTTTTTTTTTTTTTTTTTTTTTTTTTTTCCCCCTTCCTTTTTTTTTTTTTTTTTTTTTCCCTTTTTTTTGTTTTTTTTCTTTATTTTTTTCTTTCCTTTTTTTTTTTTTTTCTTTTTTTTTTTTTTTTTTTTTTCCCTTTTTTTTTTTTTTTCTTTTTTTTTTTCCTGTCGGTGGTAAGCAAAGGAGGCGCTGGCGTTCGGATGTCTGTCGACGTCGACGCGCAGTTCGAGCGCCACCCAGATCTTGATAGTTCGGAGTTTGTCCACGAGGATGCTAGACAGAGCGACAACCCTTGAACACGAAAGAATGCGACGCTGACTCTTGAGCTCCGTGCTACGATGACGATGACGAGGACTACTTCGACGACAACTGCGACGATCGCGACGAGCGCGACGGGCGCGGAGTGCCACGACGGACGACGACGGCGCCCACGACTCTCGACCACGACTTCGCGACGACGGCGACTGGTGACAATCGCCCGCCCGCCGCCGTTGACGCCGTCGTCGCCGCCGCCATCGTCGTCGTCGTCGCGTTCGTTTTCTCTGTCATGACCATCGCCGCCGTCGTCGACGCCACCGCTGCGGCCGCCATCGCCGTCACCGCCGTCGCCGCCGGCGTTGCCGGCGCCGTCGTCGCCATCGTCGTCGACGACGGGGCCGCGCAACCGATCCCAACCAAAAAATTCCCAAGGGGTGCGGTCCAATGAAGTTTTCCCAGTTGCGTCAATCCGCAGCGACGAGAACGCTTCCTGAAAGCCCTCGAACAATTCTCCAAATAACCGCGGGTTCATCCAACCATCCGTGCCTTCGTCCTTCTCCTCCTCCTCTCCTCTGGGAACGTCCGAATCCCAGAGCATATAATCTGGTATGTCGGACTTGAACCACCCATTGTACGTCTGAAGCTACCTCGCTTTGATTTGGGCGCCCGCCGCGAGCCTTCCCCCCCCTCCGTCCCTTCCTCACCTCCTCTCCTCATCCTCCGCCTCCTCATCACCATCCCTCCTCTCCTCGGTATCCGCCTCCGCTTCATCCTCCCCCTCGTTTCTCCCCTTCCTCCTCCTCCTTCACCTCCGCTCCCCCCCATCCCCCCGCGTTTTTTTCCCTCCTTCCCCCGCGCCCTTGCTCCCTTCATCATGTAATCGCTTCGCTCAGTCCGCCGGCCCATAATGTCGCACCGCGGTCGCCTGTCCGAGTGGTCGTTTGCAGTGTGGAGCTGCGGCGTCGGGAGTTGTGTAGTGTTGGGGGCGTTCTTGGGGCCCTCTTGGGTCGTCCTGGAGGCCTCTGGGGCCGTCTTGGAGCCGTCTTGGGCCGTCTTGGGGCCCTCTTGGGGGCCTCTTGGGCCCTCTTGGGGCGATATTGGAGTCTTCTTGAGCCGTTTAGGGGCGTCGGAAACGCCCAAATCTGTCCAACACCAAAGGAAAAGCACAGGTTTTTGCCTCTTGGGGCCCTCTTGGGAGTTCTCTTGGAGGCCTCTCGGGGCATCTTGGAGGTTTTTTGGCCCATCTTGGAGACGTCTTGGGCCGTCCGGAGGCCATCTTGGGGCGTCGTGGAGCGATCTTCGGGCGTCTAGGACCTCTCTTGGACCGTGTTGGGGGCGTTTTTCTCGGGGGCCTCTTGGGCCGTCTTGGGGCGACCTTGGAGGCCTCTTGAGCCATTTAGGGGCGTCGGGGAACCGAAAAGGTTAAAACGCCCAAATCTGTCCAACACCAAGGGAAAAAACACAGGTTTTTGCCTCTTGGGGCCCTCTTGGGAGTTTTCTTGGAGGCCTCTTGGGGCATCTTGGAGGTTCCTTGGCCCATCTTGGAGACGTCTTGGGCCGTCCGGAGGCCATCTTGGGCGTCGTGGAGCGATTTTCGGGCGTCTCGGACCTCTCTTGGACCGTGTTGGGGGCGTTCTCGGGGCCCTCTTGGGCCGTCTTGGAGGCCTCTGGGGCCGTCTTGGGCCGCCTTGGGGCCCTTTTGAAGGCCTTTTGGGCCCTCTTGGGGCGATCTTGGAGGCCTCTTGAGCCGTTTAGGGGCGTCGGGGAACCGAAAATGTTGAAACGCCCAAATCTGTCCAAAACCTAAGAAACAAAAAACACTGATGTTTGCCTCTTGGGGCCCTCTTGGGAATGCTCCTGGAGGTCTCCTGGGGCATCTTGGAGGCTTGTTGGGTCATCTTGGAGACATTTTGGGCCGTCTGGGGGCCATCTTGGGCGCCGTGGAGCGATCTTCGGGCGTCTCGGACCTCTCTTGGATTGTGTTGGGGGCCTCTTGGGGCCCTCTTGGGGCGATCCTGGAGGATCTGGGGGAGTGTCCCGGGCTCCGCCCGGGGTACTTTTGATCCAGGGACCCCAGGGGCCGCCCCGCGCGCGCGAACTAGAAATATTGTTTACCAGTTACCGGAGATCTTAGCACGCCTCTGGCCCGTTGGGCCGGCGAATTATCCCCCCTTCCCTCCTCCCCAATTCATCCTTCTCCTCTTCCTCTTCCTCCCCTCCTCCTCCCCTCCTCTTCTTCCTCCGTTTCACCCCCTACCGGCCCCTCCTCCACCTTCCCCCACCCCTCCTCTCATCCTCCTCCCTCTCCAAGTTCCCCCGTCCAATCCCCCTCAGACAGAGTACGGTAGTTTGTCTTATTGCACTTGGATGTTTGCGTGCGCGTGCGCACGCACTGTGAACGCGATGCGCCCCGAGACTCCCAAATACCAATCAAAGCGGACATCAAAGCATGTACATCCAAATCCTTCACGTAGCACGCGCATGCTATGTTCACACATGCGCTCATGGCGATGGTTGATACATACTTGTGCCAAATTGTATGGCTTCTGACGCACGTGGATGATTGCCCGGAAGATCATCAGATAATATCTTCACGCTGGACCCGCGGCGCGGCGGTCTACGACGGGGATCTCCACGCTGGGGGTCTCCCATGGCGCCCAGATCGCCTAAGACGGCCTAAGATTGCCTCCGCGACGACCCCAAAGGCTCCCAGGCCAAGGCCCCCAGCACGGCCCGAGAGGCCCCCAGCATATCTAAATTGGAGATCTCTACGCTGGGGGCCTCGGCTTTGACATCTACAGCGGGGATTTTCACGCTTGGGGCCTCAGCGCGAAGATCTTCAGTTGAGATTTTCACGCTCGGGATACTTTCGGACTTCCAGGTCGCCAGAGTCATCCAATATGGCCTCCAAGACAACCCCAAAGGCTTCCAGGATTGCCAGAGGCTCCTCGCGCAAAAATATTGAGTGAAGGCCTTCGCGCTTGAGGCCTCAGCGCGAAGATCTTCGGTCCAAATCTTCACGCTGGGCACTTTTTGGGGCCTCCAGATCGCCAAGAAACCAAATGTGGCTTCCATGACCAATTCAAGAGGCCCCAGTCCCAAAGGCACCCGACCAAGCCCAAGTGAATCCCCGCGCAAAGATCTTCAGTAATTCGAAATTCTTACAGCTGGAGGCCTTGGCACGGCGATCTACAGCGGAGACCTCCACGCTGGGGATGTTCCAGAGCCCCCTCAACCGCCCAAGCCGGCCCAAATTTTCCTCCAAGATACCGCCCACAAGGTTCATTCCCAAAGGCCCCCCGACACGACACCAGAGGGCCCCAGCAGAAATATCTACATTAAGAATATTGATGCGGGGGGGCTGCTTTTGGAATTTAAGAGGCGATCATTACCCTCTGGGCCTCAGCGCGAAGATCTGAAGTGATCTTCCTCCCCACTGTTTTCTCGAGCCGCCAGATTTCCAAAGAAACCCAATACGGCCTCCAAGACAATGCAGAGAGCTCACAGGATTGGCCCACACGCCCCCGACTAAGCCTTAGCGCGAAGCTCTTCAGCGAAGATCTTCCCAATTGGAACACAATCCTTTTCCTCTCCCTCCTCATTTCCACCACCTCCTCCTCCTCCTCTTCCCTTTCTCGTTATTCTGCTCCTTCTCCTCCTCATCCTCTCTACCGTTTCCTCCTCCTCATTATCCTCCCCTTGTCCTCGCGCGAGGGGGGGCGATGCCTCAATGGGCCGAATCTGCACAGCGTAGCATAGTTGGAGGGCGAAGCAGCGAAGCCATCAAACAGTCATGAAAATATTGGAGTCAGGTCCCTATGTGGCTGCGGAGGCCGATGCAAATTTCCAACGACGGTCCACCGTGGTGCACTGTTAAGATATTATGCTAGTGGCCAGCAATGCGTTGCATGGCATGAAGTGGTATACGATCCGATACTATGACTATGACGTGCTATGCATTGTTATGCTATGCTATGAGGTGAAGCGCTATGCGGTACTATGATGTTCCATGCTATGGTATGCTATGCGTGCGCGATGATAAACAATTATGCTGCTTTGTATAGCATACGCATGCATGGTAACGCTTGGCCATGCAGAACAAACTGCGTAACACTACCCCACCGAAGACGTATCGCGACTCTCCGCCCCGCCGCCCCGTTTATGGGCAGCGCAGACAGACGCAGCACAGGGCTTCCACTTCTGGTTCATGAGCCGCGAGGAGTTCCTGGCACTGCCTGAGGACAGGCCAATGCCCCGCCACCAGACCCTGAGGGATCAGGGCAAGTTGGTGCGCATCTTCATGACCGACGCAGACGTCCTGTCTGGAGCGGCGAGGACAAAGGCTGCAGTCAGCCATCGCTGGATCAGGCATTGGCACATTGACCCGGACTGCACCAAGCTGAAGAAACTGAAAACGATTCTGCGCGAGAGCCCGGACATCACCCACGTCTGGATCGACTGGGCGTGCATTCCGCAGAAATGGAAGGACGACGCCACGGAAGGGCGCAAAACATTCGTGGAGCAGGAGGAATTTAACAGGACTTTGGCGAACGTCCTCCCATATCCGTAATGGCTTCGCCCCCTGCCGCCGGCCCCCTCTCTCGGAGAATGGGCCATGGAAGAGCTAAGTCATGAGGCTTTGCGCTGTCGTGCAGCAGTATCGGAACTTCATGCGAGGCCGATTCGCAATCGGCAAAACCAACTGATCACAAGAGGGGTTACCACACAGGGCGATTGGTAAGACGTGTATGGTTACGAGCTTGGTTACCACACCTTGGGATTAAAGGGCCGAGGGAGTACTTGCAGTTTGGGTTACCACGCCTGCGATGGATTTGCGAAGGGGTGGGCACCGAATCAGAAATTGGCAGATTCCACGGTGGTTTTTGACCTGACCCCGCGTGATCTGCGTGAAAGGGGGGCCACCCGAATTTCAGAAACCTGAGCAAATCCTGTGTTTTTTGGTGACCCTGACCCGCGGATCTGCGTGAGGGGTGGCACCGAATTTCAGAAATGTGGCACATCCCCTGGGTTTTTGGACCCTGACCCCGCGGATCTGCGTGAGGGGTGGCACCGAATTTCAGAAATGTGGCAAATCCGATGTGTTTTTGGACCCTGACCCCGCGGATCTGCGTGAGGGGTGGCACCGAATTTCAGAAATGTGGCAAATCACATGTGTTTTTGAACCCTGACCCCGCGGATCTGCGTGAGGGGTGGCACCGAATTTCAGAAATGTGGCAAATCCCATGTGTTTTTGGACCGTGACCCCGCGGATCTGCGTGGGGGTGGCACCGAATTTAAGAAATGTTGCAAATCCCATGTGTTTTTGGACCGTGACCCCGCGGATCTGCGTGAAGGGTGGCACCGAATTTTAGAAATGTGGCAAATCCCATGTGTTTTTGGACCCTGACCCCGCGGATCTGCGTGAGGGGTGGCACCGAATTTCAGAAATGTGGCAAATCCCTGGTGTTTTTGGACCCTGACCCCGCGGATCTGCGTGAGGGGTGGCACCGAATTTCAGAAATGTGGCAAATCCCATGTGTTTTTGGACCCTGACCCCGCGGATCTGCGTGAGGGGTGGCACCGACTTCCAGAAATGTGGCAAATCCCATGTGTTTTTGGACCCTGACCCCGCGGATCTGCGTGAGGGGTGTCGATTTCGAGCCCCCCAGCAATTCAGACAACGCGCCCAGGGGGTGCTAAAAAGCCGGTTTGGGCCTCCCCCCCCCTCGCGCGGTCAATCAACTAGTTACAGTAACCAGCAAGAAATCAACTAGTTACAGTAACCAGCAAGAAGCAGAACTGTAACACTGGAAATTCTTTACGCTTCGCGCATCCCCACCAGCCCATCTCACAACAGCAACTCTTGCGAAGCGTGCCGACAGTTGTGTTTTTCAGGCGTGTGTCCGCTTGGCGCCGCATACCCCCCCTGTTCCTCCTTCTTCCCGCCTCCGACGACGACGTCGACGACGACGGCGACGACGAAGGCGGCGGTGCGGGCCCTCGTTGTGTGAGTCCTTCGGCCCCGTCGTCTTTGTGTGAGTCTTTCGGGACCCTATTCCTGGTGCGAGTCGTTCGGTATCCTCGTTGTGTGAGTCGTTCGGGCCCTTCCTCCTGGTGTGAGTCGTTCGGGTTGGTCGTGTTGTGAGTCGTTCGGGCTCCTCGTGGTGTGAGTCGTTCGGGCGTCTCGTCCTGGTGTGAGTCGTCGGGGCCCCTCGTCCTGGTGTGAGTCGTTCGGGTTCCTCGTGGTGTGAGTCGTTCGGGCGTTTCGTCCTGGTGCGAGTCGGTCGTGCTTCTCGTGGTGTGCGGCGTTTGGGCACCTCGTCCGCGTGCGAGTCGTTGGGGCCCTTCGTCGTAGGAGTCGTAGTAGTAGTAGTAGTAGTAGTAGTAGTAGTAGTAGTAGTAGTAGTCGTAGTAGTAGTAGTAGTAGTAGTAGTAGTAGTAGCAGTAGTAATAGTAGTAGTAGTAGTAGTAGTAGTAGTAGTAGTAGTAGTAGTAGTAGTAGTAGCAGTAGCAGTAGCAGTAGTAGTAGTAGTTGTTGTAGCTATTGTAGTAGTAGTAGTAGTAGTAGTAGTAGTAGTAGTAGTCGTAGTAGTCGTAGTACTAGTAGTACTAGTAGTAGTACTAGTAGTAGTAGTAGTAGTAGTAGTAGTAGTAGTAGTAGTCGTAGTCGTAGTCGTAGTAGTAGTAGAAGTAGTGGTAGTAGTAGGAGTAGTAGCAGTAGAAGTAGTAGTGGGAGTAGTAACAGTAGGAGTCGTCGTAGTAGTCGTTGGGGCCCTTCGTCGTAGGAGTCGTAGTCGTAGTAGTAGTAGTAGTAGTAGTAGTAGTAGTAGTAGTAGTAGTAGTAGTAGTCGTAGCAGTCGTAGTAGTAGTAGTAGTCGGTAGTAGTCGTAGTCGTAGTAGTAGTAGTAGTAGTAGTAGTAGTAGTAGTAGTAGTAGTAGAAGAAGTAGTAGTAGGTGTTAGTCGTAGTCGTAGTCGTGGTCGTAGTCGTAGTCGTAGTAGTAGTAGTAGGTAGTAGTAGTAGTAGCAGTAGCAGTAGTAGTAGTAGTTGTGTAAGCTTGTAGTAGAGTAGGAGTAGTAGTAGTATTAGTAGTAGTAGTAGTAGTAGTAGTTAGTGTATCGTAGTCGCAGTTAGTAGGTAGTAGGTAGTCAGCAGTCGTAGTCGTAGTATTAGTAGTAGTAGAGTTAGTTAGTAGTAGTAGTAGTAAGTAGTAGTAGTAGTTAGTAGTAGGTAGTAGTCGTAGTCGTAGTCGTAGTCGTAGTATAGTAGATATGTAGTGGTCGGTGAGCTAGAGAGTAGTAGCAGTAGAAGTAGTAGTGGGAGTAGAAACAGTAGGAGTCGTCGTAGTAGTCGTAGTAGTCGTTGTCGTAATGGACTCAGGGCGGCCGTCGTCGAAAGCAGCGATCTTTCCCGACCAGTGTTGTTGTCGTTGCCACTCTGGCTTCTAGTATTGGAGTGTGGCTGTGAGCTTCGCTCCGCCTACCCGTAACGCACGCGCCTGCTGTGTTTTTTGGCACGAGGTGGCTTGTGTGCGCAAATGCCGCACGTAGCCAAGCATTTCTACGAGATCTCCATTTTTGCATCTGATGTGAGTAATATTATTCTCTATTCGCCCCGCGTTCGTGTCAGCAGGTCGTCGTGGCTGTTAGCGCTCGGTGACATGCAGGCACGGCGGTCAGCGCGAGATGTCTCGGAGACGCGCCACTTTCGAGATTTGATCCGCAGGATCCATCGTCACTGCGACATCACATCATGGATTCCCCTTCACACCTATACACGCATGTATTCAATACAGAAGCACGCATACATCAAAGGCGGTCCGACACACATCAAGAACGCGCAGAAAGACATGCACAGAAGTTCAACGTTGTCTTGCGCCTCTTCCCAAGAGAGTACGAGTGGTGCGCCAGTTTTCCTGCGGATGTTGAGTAGGCACATGTGGAGGTCTGGGAGTCGTCGTTCCAAGTGTCGTCTGCCGCGCTCGCGCGCAGGTGACGCGTGGAGCGTTACGGAACGCGCGGGCTGAAGTGGTTCGCTTTGCCCTCTGGAAAGACGGGACACAGTCGATTTAGGTAGAACGCTCTTCGTTGTCGTGCAGGAGTACAGCGCGCGGAGAGGTCTTGCAGGTATGCACAAGCTCGAGGCTCTCAACATGACTGTCGGCGTATCCCGTCTCGTTCCATGTAGCGGATCGAGGCTTATCGCGCCTCCGGGTGTCCAGGGGCCTGGGGTCTAGTTCTCTGGCGTTGCAGGTGTTCCAACTGTCAGGATATAGTATTATACACGGTTGTCCTTGGTGCAGTTCCAGGTAACTTTCAAGTTCCCCACGGGGTGAGTCGATCGGGTGTCTCGCGGCGTGAGCAGCTCGGGCTTCTGGGGCTAGTGGGAGTCGGTCCGGCCTTTCCGTGTGTGTGAGACGTTCGTTCCGCTCTTCGTCGTCTTCCTCTTTTTCCTTCTCGGAGTTCGTGTCGTGCGGCCACGCAGGTTTTGACCTGCGTGGTTGAGGCCATTGCCGAAGGCTAAGGAGCGCCCAGGAGTGCCCCAGCGTTGTCGTCGCTGTTGCCACTTTGGCTCGTAGCATTGCAGTTGGGCTGTGAGCGCAGCTCCGCCCATGAGCACAAGCCTCTTTGTCCTGGTTTCCTTGCTGTCGGCATGGGGAGGTGCCGGCACGCCCTGATATTTTGGCTTGCAGAAGGGGTACTTTGGAGCGAGAAGGGCGAGGAGTCGGTGATCATGCCTCCTTTTTGTGGCAAGTTCCGATCGTCGCCGCACTGCCGTCGCCCAGCATACATGGCGGAGTGTGCGCCGCCAGAGGTAGTTCTGCACATAATCCAGAACGCCGTCAGAGCTTTAGTGATCACGAAGAAGCCGATGCGGGATGGCAGCGGTGACCTCAATTGCACGAGGAAGCTCGCCGCTCAGGTAGGCACGAGTTTGTATTTCCATGTGTGCAGCATGAACCTGTTCACCGACCAAGACGCCCGTTGGCGCGTAGACTTTGTCGGCGACGTTGCAACTGTGAAGCTTCGCATGGCGGGGATGATAAGTACGCTGGCGTGTCGAACATGGGCACCCAGGGCAATGCGCGTAGCGCGGGTTTTTGAGATTCTGTCATTGCTCAATTTCACGTGAGCCCACTTACTTGGAAGCAGCTTATCGGAGCGGACCGCTCTATGTCGGCACGGCAGCGACGAGAAATGAGCATGCTATTCGCACCAGGCGCAGTGGACCATGAGCAGCCCCTCCTCTTCGGCGGCGTCGTACTTACCCGCAAGAGCGTGCACTGAAGGATTTGGTGTATTTCGCTGTGACGATGGCGCATCTCTCGTGCAACAATTCGGCGGGTTTGTTTGGTATTCCGCGTGGATGCTTTGGGTGACGTGGTCAAGCTGAGTTCTAGGCGCTAGTTCTCTCTGGGATGGATGACAGGGTCACCCAGTCCGACCAGATAATCATCTCGTTCGCGTCTCTGCAACATCTGTGCGAAGCAGATTGTCATTTTTTTTTTCTCTCTCTCTCTCTCTCTCTCTCTCTCTCTCTCTCTCTCTCTCTCTCTCTCTCTCTCTCTCTCTCGGCGGGTACGTTTAGAATTCCAGGCGGTCTGCCGCGTTGGTGGCGCGTAGCAGTGGCGATGCTCGGGGGCCCCG